AGCAAAAAATAGTCCAGTGAGATTTATGACAGACACTATACAAAATAGTTGTCCACAAATGTACATCATTATTAATTATTGTAATATTTAAGAAAAACTAATATGGCTGAAAATTTGATCAGTTATGCTTTCGTTCTCTTTTTTCTTTCTGTCAAAATGAACCCAGAATAATATGAAAATGTCCTCACCCATTGCTTTGTGGGGTCTCAGACACATCCTTTGATCTTTGCTTGGCTAGCTGCTTAGCTTTCCTCTTCGCCCTGTTCTTTTCTCTGGCACTCATCTGTGGATTGCTGAACACCATCAACTGTTGGACTACTTCAGCCACAGCTTCCTTTAATAAAAATCAAAAGCAGTGTGAAATTACAATAAATTACATTATATAAATACGAATGATGTTTCTGTTATATAATCGCAGTATGATGCTGCCAATAATCAGTGGTCTATTTTTATAATAAAAATCATACAAATTGACATTCTAAGTTATACTTTAATTACTTATAAAAACAAATATTATACCAAGGCCTTTGAAAGAATTTAATCACCAAAACCACATCTTCATCATGTTAATATAAATTATTTGGTTATGAAACAAACCATAATTTTCTAACTAGTGTTTGTATTACCACGTCAAGTGTTGTTTTAAATGTGTGTATGCATATGTGCCTACAATTAATCTTTGATATATATCTAAAAACATACTCAAAGACCCACAAAAAATAAAATAAAATAAAATAAAACATTGATGATTACTTGTGATGATTCCTGCTTTGTCCCCTGTTGCCTGTTTTCTTGCTTCATCATGAGGTCTTCATCAGAGAACAAGTCTGTCTCCATTCCCATACCACCTGCTATGTCCAAACCTAGCCTCTTGTTCAGCTTCTGCCTCTGTAATGTTAACTTTTCTTTCTGGTCCAAACCTGGAACAGCAAAAATTCCTTTTGAAATATGCTATTTTGCTTTATGTGAATGCCACTACTACAACAACATACAAGAAACCAAAATGGTCAGGGCAGACTGCATAGAGCAAGGATAACAGTGATAATATGGAAAAGGATAGTGGTTTACAAAATTGTATGGTGCATCACATTTGGAGGTGTGTACGGGGTTACAGTCTGATTAATACATTCTCCAACCAAAAAGGGAGCATAGTGGACTACCTCATGGGGGCAAAAGGGTAGGAAAGAGGGGGAAAGGGGGAAAAGGGAGAGAAGGGGAAAAAATTGACAATTATTGAGAGATTAATGTTGTAATGAATGTGTAAAGGTCTGGCAAGAACCAGCAGTACCAAAAGCATCCCAGTCACCACCAGAGAGGCCATTTCCATAATGGTACAGGACTATATTAGATACTACTAGAGCTTGTATTGATTCAGAAAAACACGAAACACAATGATTACATCAACATTATAATTTGAAATCTCTCATCATCTATAATTCAAAACATTTATGGGAGATGATGATTATGCTTTTCTTTCTGCTAAGACCAAGATGGGTCGACTGCCCCGCAACGTCTGCAGATGAAAATTTTAACAGAAAATATAGGGGATGATATCAAAAATGAATTCTTAATAAGCTTCTGGCAATAATATGCTGTCATACATCTTGAGAGGCTGTTGGAATGTATCATCTTAAAGCGCATGCCATGAAGGACAGCAGATACCCTACTATATGTGTACTGATATGGATGAACAAACTAAATTTTACTATTGCCCTTTGCATAACAGCTCTTTCTTATTAAAAAGATATCTGGAAATTTCCACACTCAAGATGCATCTTGCAATATCTCTGATCAGGCAGGGCATTAGTGCTAAAAATAAAGACCTATTGGAAACTATAATTGTCAGATTGATATCAAGTCTTTTGAAATGAAGCTGCTGTCTTTTGTAACGACTTACAAAAATCATGTAATCAAGCACAAGACATAACTATCTAACTGTGAAAAAATTGCAGCCAACTTCTCACTTTTCATTTTAATGACACTCACAGCACTACCACATGCTTGGTTTCCTACATATTTCTCTATCTGGGATATTAAGAACCGTCTTTTTCCAATCACACTATCACATTAAATGCCAATCTGTCACAAGAAGATAACTTTCCCCAAAGACAGTGCTTAAGGCCCAAATTGAAGACTAATGCATAATGTTGGTGTTTTCTGGTGAAATATGGTTCTGATCGATGAAAAGAAGTGTCAGGCCACATATCATGCTGTGATAAATACTGTTTAAGTCTGCTTACAAGAATATAGTACTTTTCCAACATTTTCTTTTTCTCTCTTTTTAAAAAAATTCGCATATCTAGGTAACAGATTTAAGCATCAGAAGGTATTATGTAAAGATAGTGAAACAGGTGTTAAAAAGAGTAATAATAACTGGAAATGCACCCAGAGACCTCTGACAAGGAAACTGAATTCTCACTGTTTAATTATTAGTCAAAGCATAGTTGATAAAGGCAAGTTATGTCTCATATAATACACTGTCACCTGAGTGATATACACAGACATCGGACGCAGAGCCTTTAAGGCTTTTCTTGGGAAATCTTGTTAGAAACCATAAATATATATATATATATATATATATATATATATATATATATATATATATATATATATATATATTAGTACAACTTGCCTCTCTATAACGTGTGACGTAACTTGCCTAGCTTTGACACAGTGTGGTCCCGTGTGACGCACTGATGCAAGAGGTTAGGTCACAGCTCGCAAATAACGTCTGTGACATGTACCTTTAAAATGGGGTAAGACAATATTATAATTACTTGTGCAGCTTTGATGCAATTTTGGTTTCAATTTTAATCTGTATTACCCCAAAAATCTAATCAATTTTTCTTTGGCCCACTTGTGACCTATCCATTTTCATCAAAATCAGTCCCTTTCTTTTTGCCTAATGATGTGAACAGACACATACGGACCAAAAACGTAACCTTCTTGTCAGAGGTAATCTGTCATTCATTTAATTTTGTTCAGCTAGTCAAAATTAATATTAATATATTTAGATTTTTATTTTACAGCAAGAAAATTGACTTGCTATGTTTATTGCAATTGCTACCATTAAAATGCCATATACCAAATCTGACACCCAATAACCTGAAACCATGATATCAACAAGGCAGCAAAGCTGTCAAATGTACAGACAAAAAGCAGGAAATAACTATGCACAAAATAGGCTACTGTCAATTCTGATGCAAAAGTACATTATGTTAAACTGCAAATTCAACATCAAATTTTAATTATGCTCAACAGGTAATACCAATGTAAGTAAAATGTGTAACAAGCATAAGGCTTCAGGCCCATGGGAGTTCAAGTTCACACTTTGAAAATGTATAACTTCCAGAAAAAGAAGCCAATTAGACTGCTTTTCCAACTCGGGCTGCATTTTAGTCCTGTATTTCTTTTTTGAAAGTTTGGCAATCATAAGTAACATGGTTTTCCCATAATGGTCATCATGACAGCAGTACCCAAAATTGTGTTTTCTTCTATTCTGATGCAATATTACATAATGGTTAACAGGATAATGACCGTCAATTTTTAATAATAAAATATATGTATCATGGATTTTCAGAAAATGTGACTATCATGGGTCTTCAAGC